GCTATAAATAGGGTTGCCCTCATACTAACTATACCAGCTATAGACATGGTTGCCCTAATGCAGACAATACCAGTTATAAACATGGTTGCCCTAATACAGACAATACCAGCTATAGACATGGTTGCCCTAATACAGACAATACCAACTTTAGATAGAGTTGCCCTAATACAAACTATACCAGATATAGATATGGTTGCCCTAATACAGACAATACCAGCTTTAGATATGGTTGCCCTAATACAGACAATACCAGCTATAGATATGGTTGCCCTTTGACAGACAATACCAGCTTTAGATATGGTTGCCCTAATACAGACAATACCAGATATAGATATGGTTGCCCTTTGACAGACAATACCAGCTATAGATATGGTTGCCCTAATACAGACAATACCAACTTTATATAGGGTTGCCCTAATACAAACTATACCAGCTATAGACATGGTTGCCCTAATACAGACAATACCAGCTATAGATATGGTTGCCCTAATACAGACAATACCAGCTTTAGATATGGTTGCCCTAATACAGACACTACCAGCTATAGATATGGTTGCCCTAATACAGAAAATATAGATATGGTTGCCCTAATACTGACAATATAGATATGGTTGCCCTAATACAGACAATATCAGCAATAGATATTGTTGCTTTTTGACAGACAATACCAGCTTCAGATACGTTTGCCCTAATACAGACAATACCAGCTATAGATATGGTTGCCCTAATACAAACAATACCAGCTTCAGATACGTTTGCCCTAATACAGACAATACCAGCTTCAGATACGTTTGCCCTAATACAAACTATACCAGCTATAGACATGGTTGCCCTAATACAGACAATACCAGCTATAGATATGGTTGCCCTAATACAGACAATACCAGCTATAGATATGGTTGCCCTAATACAGACAATATAGATATGGAATCCCCTGTAGACTTTTCCCTCTGATTTCAAGAAATCATCATCATCCAGAGTAGCCAACATTCCGTTTCAGCGGCTCCCATGGCTCCTTGACTGTAGTATCAGTTGCTCTCTAAACATATTGATATCAAGGGCAGCAATTCTGTGGCTAATCATTGGAACTAAATATTTTGAGAGGATATTGCCTGTAGCAGCTGTTGTTTATTTGTTGGTTGTAACTAGATACAGGTTGTTTACCTGGGCTGTGGGAAGCTGGGAGGGGGAGGAGTGGGGGAAGCTGGGAGGGGGGTGGGCATAATGAGAGGATAGGCTTCACAGATCTTCCCCAAACTTGTGGCATAAGCATTACTTTACTGAAATGAGGAACATTTGATTAATATTTCTTAGCTTAGTCAGTAACTAGAAAGGGCATATGGCCGACTGGCAGATGTTATTATGCCTGACCATCAGAACACTGGAGGACATGGAAGGCAATCTCACACTGTTGGAACTTCTAAACACCAACATCTACCAAGGTAAATACAAATTCACTTATTGTTTCTGTTCCATATGCCAAGATGTATGAGGTCAAAATACAAATCTATTCTATAAAGAAAACAATCAACTGGCCTGAACTGAAGATTGTGCACAAATCCATATCTTTTCGAGAGAAATATCTTGTAATTCATACGTAGATTCAAGAGCTGGAGTCCCCAAACAGCAAACAGGGACAGGGTTGAGGTCAGACAAGAGACAGGGTTGAGGTCAGACAGAAAGTACTGGAGTACCTTGAGGTCAGACAGAAAGTACTGGAGTCCCCTTCAGCAACACGGGACAGGCTTGAGGTCAGACAGAAAGTACTGGAGTCCCCTTCAGCAACAAGGGACAGGGTTGAGGTCAGACAGAAAGTACTGGAGTCCCCTTCAGCAACAAGGGACAGGGTTGAGGTCAGACAGAAAGTACTGGAGTTCCTTACAGCAACAAGAGACAGGGTTGGGGTCAGACAAGGGACAGGATTGAGGTCAGACAGAAAGTACTGGAGTCTCCCTACGGCAACAAGGGACAGGGTTGAGGTCAAACAGAAAGTACTGGAGTCCCCCTACAGCAACAAGGGACAGGATTGAGGTCAGACAGAAAGTACTCGAGTCCCCCTACAGCAACAAGGGACAGGGTTGAGGTCAGACAGAAAGTACTGGAGTCCCCTTCAGCAACAAGGGACAGGGTTGAGGTCAAACAGAAAGTACTGGAGTCCCCCTACAGCAACAAGAGACAGGGTTGGGGTCAGACAAGGGACAGGATTGAGGTCAGACAGAAAGTACTGGAGTCCCCTACAGCAACAAGGGACAGGATTGAGGTCAGACAGAAAGTACTGGAGTCCCCCTACAGCAACAAGGGACAGGGTTGAGGTCAGACAGAAAGTACTGGAGTCCCCCTTCAGCAACAAGGGACAGGGTTGAGGTCGAACAGAAAGTACTGGAGTCCCCCTTCAGCAACAAGGGACAGGGTTGAGGTCAAACAGACAGTACTGGAGTCCCCCTACAGCAACAAGAGACAGGGTTGGGGTCAGACAAGGGACAGGGTTGAGGTGAAACAGAAAGTACTGGAGTCCCCCTACAGCAACAGGATACAGGGTTGGGGTCAGACAAGGGACAGGATTGAGGTCAGACAGAAAGTACTGGAGTCCCCTTCAGCAACAAGGGACAGGGTTGAGGTCAGACAGAAAGTACTGGAGTCCCCTAGAGCAACAAGGGACAGGGTTGAGGTCAGACAGAAAGTACTGGAGTCCCCCTACAGCAACAGGATACAGGGTTGGGGTCAGACAAGGGACAGGGTTGAGGTCAGACAGAAAGTACTGGAGTCCCCTACAGCAACAAGGGACAGGGTTGAGGTCAGACAGAAAGTACTAGAGGATCCTACAGCAACAAGAGACAGGGTTGAGGTCAGACAGAAAGTACTGGAGTCCCCCTATAGCAACAGGATACAGGGTTGGGGTCAGACAAGGGACAGGGTTGAGGTCAGACAGAAAGTACTGGAGTCCCCTACAGCAACAAGAGACAGGGTTGGGGTCAGACAAGGGACAGGGTTGAGGTCAGACAGAAAGTACTGGAGTCCCATAGAGCAACAAGGGACAGGGTTGAGGTCAGACAGAAAGTACTAGAGGTCCCTACAGCAACAAGAGACAGGGTTGAGGTCAGACAGAAAGTACTGGAGTCCCCCTATAGCAACAGGATACAGGGTTGGGGTCAGACAAGGGACAGGGTTGAGGTCAGACAGAAAGTACTGGAGTCCCCTACAGCAACAAGAGACAGGGTTGGGGTCAGACAAGGGACAGGACTGAGGTCAGACAGAAAGTACTGGAGTCCCCTTCAGCAACAAGGGACAGGGTTGAGGTCAGACAGAAAGTACTGGAGTCCCCCTCCAGCAACAAGGGACATCATTTACACCACTGTCATCATCTACACTAATGTTATCGTTCACCCTAGTGTTATCGTTTATCCTGAGATCATTGTTTATCCTCAGGCTGTCATGGTTATAAGAAACAGCAAGGCATCAATACAGACATGGTAACTGTGTTAATCAATGTGTGGAGGGGAATAATCAGGGCAATGGTACGGAAACAAAGCTGGAGTGATACAATGTGTCATGTAAACTCCATTTCATACAAGACTTACCCTTGGTCCAGAACACCCTGGCACTCCCCTGGAGCCCTGAAGATGTCCAATCACAAGAAACACATACAACAGACATGGCGTACACCCATACCACTCCCAACACTCGGATTTTAATTTAACTTTAGTATTAAACTTAGTTACTGAACAAGCCATCGATTACAGCAGAAGTTAAGACAAAAGATCAGCGTTTTACACATCAATGCCTATTTAAGATGATAACACCGACTCATGTGCCTTGTTCACTTAAAGCTGTCTTAGGAAGCAAGTGATATTGATGGTCTTGGCTTTATGTTTAGGTCTGTATACATTGGTATGCCTGCAGAATGCATAGACCAAATATTACATGCAGAAGAAATAGGGGACATGATGGGTGTGGCTGTTGAACCCAGAGACAGAGGCTATTGGCTGGGGGAGGGGATTATAGAGACCATATAAGGACAAGTATCAGATACTCAGTTGTATGCAATGTCAGAAACACTGTTGTACACAATGTTGTCATGTTTAAGACAGATACACTGTTGTACACAATGTTGTCATGTTTAAGTTGGATACACTGTTGTACACAATGTTGTCATGTTTAAGTTGGATACACTGTTGTACACAAAGTTATCATGTTTAAGACAGATACACTGTTGTACACAATGTTGTCATGTTTAAGACAGATACACTGTTGTACACAATGTTGTCATGTTTAAGTTGGATACACTGTTGTACACAATGTTGTCATGTTTAAGTCGGATACACTGTTGTACACAATGTTGTGGTGATTGTGTGTTGTATATTGTGTTACAGTATGACTGTGTTGTATATTGTGTTACAGTATGACTGTGTGGTATATTGTATTAATGTATGACTGAGTTGTATATTGTGTTACAGTATGAATGTGTTGTATTGTATATTGTGTTAGTGTATGGTTGTGTTACTCTATGGCTGTGTTGTATATTGTGTTAGTGTATGACTGTGTTGTATATTGTGTTAGTGTATGGCTGTGTTGTATATTGTATCACTGTATGACTGTGATGTATATTGTGTTACTCTATGGCTGTGTTGTATATTGTGTTAGTGTATGACTGTGTTGTATATTGTGTTACTCTATGGCTGTGTTGTAAATTGTATCACTGTATGACTGTGATGTATATTGTGTTACTCTATGGCTGTGTAGTATATTGTGTTAGTGTATCTGTGAGTTGTATATTGTGTTACATAGTTCTATACAGGGCAGAAATGGCCACTTTTTTGTTCCACAATGTTAGTAATTAAGTGTTATCCCATCCACCTCATATTAAAACAGGTCAAAATGTTATATACCCATCCACTGCTGTATTGTAGAATATACACAGACATATATAGGCCTTGTTTATAAGTTTAGTGCAGAAAGACAGAATCTCAGATAGAGATAAATGTTTATAGCAGAAATAATACCGGAAAACCATTTTCTCCTTTGGAACCCTGAAACGTAAATCATAAACATGTGTAGAGTATCAAGACAGCCTCTATAAATATATTTAATCTTTCTGTATGAAAGATGTCTGACAGTGACTTCTGTCATCTGTATGTCTGTGGGCTTTCAGTGTGAGGAGACGACGTCAGCATCCCGCCATGGCCATCTCCTCATCCTGAGCAGATACAGGATGTGCAGAGATGCTATGGCAGCTGAACAAGTCAGACAAAAACACTCCTTTGCTGTAAAGTATATTTTTTTATATGAATACCGTATTGGATGTATTTAGTGTGCTGCCCCTACACAGGCATCACCAGGATGTCAATAGTTACATAGCCAATTACCTCTTCCGGTACAGTGGAGGTGGGTCTGTCGCATCTGTCTCAGACAGATTCATCAGCGGAGCTTGAACACTGTACTTTACAGGCATATTGCGTAGGTCAGTCTAAATGTGGCTTCGATCGGATATTAATCTTTGTTATTGCCCTATCACAGGTACGGTGTGAAAAATAAACAAAGGATTGGAAGCCTCCACCATCAGATGCTGCTGCCAAGGGAGACAACTCTACACAGCTGGCGGCAATGGAAGAACTGGTTTATATAAGTCTTTACCGAGGGGATGAAAGGGTAACGTGATGATACGCTTTTATCCGAACTTTCACCTTCATATCTTGTGGAAGTATTTTCTCCAATCAGTTTCATAACATTAAAATACATCACAAACAGTTAGCACCAATTGGTCAAGACTGCACACCTGAACACTTGCAGCCCATCATAACAATGGCCCGTGGGTGTCTGTTATGATCTTACTTCCGGCATAAACATTATGCCGCGGCGAGTCTGTTGTCATCTTCTCACAACATAAACAACACAACACAGGCCCACGGGAGCCTGTTGTGATCTTCTGACAGTGATAGCCCAAACCACAGACAACACAAACCACAACGTGAGCTCTCTCTGTCAGCCTCCCACTGCCACTAGCATCTACAGGAGTGGCCACATTCTCAAGGACACATGCTTCTTAGGCCAGAATAAAGTCATTATTGAATTATTCATTTTTTCCTCGAAAAGCAGGCATTTGGTTCTATTTTTATATTTCTTTCAATAAAACATTGGTCAAATTGGTCATTTTGGACTTATTGAATCAAAACTGAATCTGACGTACCAAAAATAACATGATGTAACTGCTGGTTCAGGAGGAAGATGGGCGGTGATGATAATCTGGTGATTACATTGTATTTAGTTCGGCCTTACCAGCAAGGAGGGAGTTTAGGACGATCACAGCAGATTACTTCTTAAAACTGGCCTACATCTATGAAGCTTGCTATATAAAAGTAAACCTGGGTGTAGCACCTGGATGAAAGTTCCTGATACTGGTAAGTCTGACAGAGAGAGACACACACAACACTTAAGGCAGATGCAGCCGAACACAGACAATCACACACACACACAGCAGCCATTCCAAAACTCTCCTCTAGTCAAATCACAACAAGTTTAATTTCAGAATTTTTTTCTGAATTTTAAAAATTTGTTATTTTAGTAGTGCTTGTCTGTAGACTGGAGAGTCGTGGCCTGTCCACAGTTTGATAAGATGACTACATTGATGTCTTACCACTGGTCCCAGGTCTCCTTTGTCCCCCTTGGCTCCTGCAACAAACAGAATTTGATTTAAAAAAGACATACAAATTTCATGGACTAAAAAATAACTAAAACATCTTGCTTGTAGAAAGATTAATTTTTTATGATGAAAAAAAGAATGCAAGTTTGCCTCAAGACCACTTTTCTTTCTCGAAAAAAATATTTATTTTCCTTAAAAGGTTGTTAACTTGTATACACAATATTTACAAACATATCGAAGAAAAATATTTACTTTTTTGGTCCAGCCATTAACAGTGACAGCCTGATAGACATCTAGATATGCCAAGCAGGGTTATAAAAAATGATCCCATGGATGCTTTGACTGGCTACAAATAACAGCAAAAATGTTTGAGAAAGGAGCACTTTGTATCTCAACATTGAACAATGGATAACATCATTTAGTGGCCGAAGAAGCATCTTTGTAGCACAAATTACAAGAGCATTAATGAAGCATGATGTTACTGAAGACATCAATTCCTGGTTTGTGTACAGAACGGAGAGCCAACTGATGATGGCTGTACATTAGTGAGTGTAACAGTGTCTTATTTTGTAAATAATCGTCTCTAATGGAAAAGCAGTTGTGAGGAAGATGTTGTCAGATTCCTTGCATCAGCGGGGAGTAGCGTAGCCCCAAGGTAAACAGTACGTGGGGAGGTACGACCACGGACACACCTGGAGCCATGGGTGGGAGACATTTAAGATAACCACCTTTTCAACACATAATAAATTTTGCGCAATATTTTCAGAAACACCTGTAAAAACTTGGGTGATTCAGCCTGAGAAAATGGCCACAATGTATGCAATTTTAACCTAGTCAAAGATATATGTTGTCTGCTATATCGACATGCAGACAGACAACAAACAGACTAGAAATAGATACACAGACTTACAACTGACCTACACACAGATTGAGAGTTTAGGTTCAACACAACATTACTATTCCAGTTCATCCTATGCGGACTGTTTTGCTTGACATCTTTCTGGGGTGGAATATTACTCTATGTAGTATCATTTTCCTCAAACCAATCTTACCATCTTTCCCACCAATCTAGAATATTTCACCCCCTCCCTGCAAATCTCACCATCTTCACACCAATCTTACCATATTCTCCAAAAATGTCCCTCTCTTAATTCCCTTATTCCCATCCCCTAAACCTAAACTCGCACAATCTCTATCTCATCCCCCTTACACACATCCTCTAAACACCCACCACAATCTCCTCCCCTAAACTCCCAAAATCTCAATCACATCCCCTAAACATTCACAATCTCAATCTCTTCCCCAAAACTCCCACCACAATCTCATCCCCTAAACTCCAACCACAATCTCATCCCCTAAATTCCCACCACAATCTCATCCCCTAAACTCCAACCACAATCTCACGCCCTAAATTCCCACCACAATCTCTTCCCCAAAACTCCCACCACAATCTCATCCACAAAACTCCCACCACAATCTCATCCCCTAAATTCCCACCACAATCTCATCCCCTAAACTCCAACCACAATCTCACGCCCTAAATTCCCACCACAATCTCTTCCCCCAAACTCCCACCACAATCTCTCCACAAAACTCCAACCACAATCTCATCCCCTAAATTCCCACCACAATCGCATCCCCTAAACACCCACCACAATCTCATCCCCTAAACTCCAACCACAATCTCACGCCCTAAATTCCCACCACAATCTTATCCCCTAAACTCCCACCACAATCATATCCCTTAAACTCCCACCACAATCTCATCCCCTAAATTCCCACCACAATCTTATCCCTTAAACTCCCACCACAATCTCATCCCCTAAACTCCCACCACAATCTTATCCCCTAAACTCCCACCAAAATCTCATCCCTTAAACTCCAATCACAATCTCATCCCCTAAACTCCCACCACAATCTCATCCCCTAAACTCCCACCACAATCTCATCCCCTAAATTCCCACCACAATCTCTTCCCCAAAACTCCCACCACAATCTCATCCCTTAAACTCCAACCACAATCTCACGCCCTAAATTCCCACCACAATCTCTTCCCCAAAACTCCCACCACAATCTCATCCCTTAAACTCCCACCAAAATCTCATCCCTTAGACTCCCACCAGAATCTCATCCCCTAAACTCCCACGCCAAACTCATCCCTTAAACTCCAACTACAATCTCATCCCCTAAACTCCCACCACAATCTTATCCCCTAAACACCCACCACAATCTCATCCCCTAAACTCCCACCACAATCTCATCCCCTAAACTCCAACCACAATCTCATCCCCTAAACTCCAACCACAATCTCATCCCCTACACTCCCACCACATTCTCATCCCCTAAACTCCCACCACAATCTCATCCCTTAAACTCCCACAATCTCTCCCTCTTCCCACTTATCACCAGCCCTCCCCTCCCATCTCCAATCACCATCCTATATATCTCCCTACACAGTAGATAACCATTCATCACTTTCTCTCCCAGATTATCCACAGAAGTCGGCCATCTCTCTATTTCCCCCCGCATGCAGCTAACCTATATCTACAAGCGCCTGTTACCAAATGGCTTAAATCAATTTTTCAGATCTTTATATATATCAAGTGGCTCGTAACTGCATGTGAAGTATTGACAAGCCGACCACACCGCAGGTTGTTCCACGTCCCCAGTGTCCTGCCGCTTATCCCTCCCATACTTATCAGGGTATACAAGTGTCTGCTGGGGAGATAAGCTCTCTGCCTCATTACTCTGTAACTACTATTAGCCCAGCTCCTCCAATTACACTTAACTCAAATATCTCTATTGCTTTTTCACATTTGTGCGGAATGTGAGATTGCTTGCAGTGTGTGCATCAGAGAATTGGAGGAGTTGATGTTGAAATTGTAGAACACTGTTTCCTCCTCAATCCAGTGACTCCTGATCCAGATAACTCTCCTCCTATTGTACCTGCCTGTCCCCCCCATTGCGAACTCCCGACCCCCCATTGTGAGGAATCAGGGACTCGATATACAACACCCAAGGGATTTAATATCTCCTACTAATTCTAAAGCAGAAATGACATTTTTCCCAATCACTCTGGTGAATTAATCATTTAATTCTTTTGAAGGCATTTTTTTGACAATGCACATTAATTCCATTAATGTACCTCATAAATTAGTGATGCTGTCACAGGCATTGAGTGCAATCACTGACGAGACAACACACCTTGAGGCCAGGTAGTTGCCTGGAAGTCAGTCGCCAGGTAACACAGGGGGACTGGATGGCATCGCTGTGCACAGGTTAACGATCAACTATGCAGTACCACAATCATTCTTAGAACCTCCTCAGGTAAACAAATCTTGCATTCAAAATACTACAAAATGAAGGCTGCCTTGACTAACCTACTTGATTATCTATCATTAGGATATTTCCTGGACAAGGTGCGTTCAAGCTGTAAACATCCTCATTAACCAAAGATGAATCTACCAGTGTCCCTGATTTCACACATGACATGGCTTATTATTGCCCTGTATGACATCATGGAGATTGCTCCCACGTATCCAGCCTTGTTCTCCGACACAGATTCCAGTCCAAGAATCCCATGTTTGTCTCCCCATGGTAATACCTGTATCACAAACCTTCCCTCTATTCACCGACCAACTGCCATAGCCCCATCCCACTATTCATCCAACCATCACTGCCACAGAGATCCCACTATTCTTCCAACCATCACTGCCACAGAGATCCCACTATTCATCCAACCACTGCCACAGAGATCCCACTATTCATCCAACCATCACTGCCAGAGATCCCACTATTCATCCAACCATCACTGCCACAGAGATCCCACTATTCATCCAACCATCACTGCCAGAGATCCCACTATTCTTCTAACCATCACTGCCACAGAGATCCAACTATTCATCCAACCATCACTGCCACAGAGATCTAACTATTCATCCAACCATCACTGCCAGAGATCCCACTATTCATCCAACAATCACTACCACAGAGATCCCACTATTCTTCTAACCATCACTGCCACAGAGATCCAACTATTCATCCAAACATCACTGCCACAGAGATCTAACTATTCATCCAACCATCACTGCCAGAGATCCCACTATTCATCCAACCATCACTGCCACAGAGATCCCACTATTCTTCTAACCATTACTGCCACAGAGATCCAACTATTCATCCAACCATCACTGCCACAGAGATCCCACTATTCATCCAACCATCACTGCCACAGAGATCCCACTATTCATCCAACCATCACTGCCAGAGATCCCACTATTCATCCAACCATCACTGCCACAGAGATCCCACTATTCTTCAACCATCACTGCCACAGATCCAACTATTCATCCAACCATCACTGCCACAGGGATCCCACTATTCATCCAACAATCACTGCTATAGGGATCCCACTATTCATCCAATCATCACTGCCACAGAGATCCAACTATTCATCCAAACATCACTGCTATAGGGATCCCACTATTCATCCAATCATCACTGCCACAGAGATCCAACCATTCATCCAACCATCACTGCCACAGGGATCCCACTATTCATCCAACAATCACTGCTATAGGGATCCCACTATTCATCCAATCATCACTGCCACAGAGATCCAACTATTCATCCAAACATCACTGCTATAGGGATCCCACTATTCATCCAATCATCACTGCCACAGAGATCCAACTATTCATCCAACCATCACTGCCACAGAGATCCAACTATTCATCCAAACATCACTGCTATAGGGATCCCACTATTCACCCAAATATCACTGCCACAGAGATCCAACTATTCATCCAATCATCACTGCCACAGAGATCCAACTATTCATCCAACCATCACTGCTATAGGGATCCCACTATTCATCCAATCATCACTGCCACAGAGATCCAACTATTCATCCAACCATCACTGCCACAGAGATCCAACTATTCATCCAACCATCACTGCTATAGGGATCCCACTATTCATCCAATCATCACTGCCACAGAGATCCAACTATTCATCCAACCATCACTGC